CTATGTTTTTAATTTCTTTTTCTTAACAGTAAATATACTTCAAAAGTAAAAAAATAAAATAAAAACGGTGTTTTTATAATAAAATGTAAAAAGGAATGACAAGCTACACGAGAATTTCATTTTCCTACTGTAATTGTCAACCAGATGAATGTTCTTCTCTACAAAATCTACAAGGGAATTAATAGGTGTGATCATTAATTTATTGATATAATCAACCAAAAGTTCCAGTAAAACTGTAAACTTCTCTAGGAGATATTCTACAGAGAATATTTGAGATTCTATATGTTAAGATGTATACATAAGCAATCAAATAATAGTATAGTTTCAATATAAAAAAAAAAAACTCAACACAAGTTAGCTAACTCTTCATTATCCAAGCCAACAGAGAATAGCGACCCATAAAAATTCTCAAAGTTTTATATTTAGCTATGGAATGTATATTTTTTAAAACAGGTTTGAAGTTTTTATGAGTTCACAAAGTTCAAAATAAATATTAAAGATACTCTACAATGACTGGACTCAGTAGGAGCTAGAGAGCTATTTGGCTTTTGCTGGTCTCTTCCTTATTCTACCATCAAGATGGAAACAGTCTAGCACAGTGATACAACTCACTGGCTTAAAGAGCAATGTGGTCATTCTAAGCTTACTATTGTAAGGAAAAGAAATGCTAAGGATTTGGGATTACTGGGTTTTTGTTTTCCAAGGGTTCGACGTGAAAGGAAGAATAAATTCACGCCAATGATAAAATCAAGAGAAAATGAAAAGTACCGAGGAGACCGAAAAGAGAGATACAACATTCTAGGTAACGATATTCTATGATTTAAAGCAAAAGTGAGCAGAAGGAAGCTATTCTTTGATAGAATACAAGTTTCTGTCTCTTTGGGTTCAAGTTCTGGTTCTATGACTGATATAACTTCAGGTAACAATTAATTTGTGTCTTAGTTTCCCTCTCTTCTAAATAAGGAAAACATCACTTACCATACAAGAAGGATGTACAATAAAATAAAATAATTCACATGAATGGGCTTTCAGCTCTTCAGAAAAAATCTACGAATCTTTAATAATGAACCTGAAAAGCTAATTAAAAATAAGATGACTATGTCAAAATTAAGTCTGAAACAGTAGCCTACAGGGCCTTTAAAACTTACATTATGAGCTATCACTTTTACACAAAATAACAGAATTCAAACTAAGGTTGAGTCTGTAATGCAAAGCAAATGAACTAACTTGAGCAATCAAATAAGATCACTTATTAATATATTAACAGAGTGAAAATAAGTTAAACAGGTTATTCAGCCATCATGTTGATTTGATACAACCTAAAAACAATGATGTAAAATGATGACATTCTCTTGCTGTTTCTCTTTTGAAAACGTATTTGGAGCTGGCTGCTCAAAAGATATGTAATCACTGAACAATAAAAGCTATACGGTATTAAAAACAAAAGTGATTAAACACATACACAAAGGGACTATTCTTTGGGTTATAACATCATCCGTAACTAGCAAATTAAAGTTTTGAAGTCTAAAAGTAATAGATGTCATTAACCAGTATTTACTGAGCAATATATATGTTAAGCACCACAAATACAAAAAAGTGTTAGACTCAATATGCCTGGCCTACAACTAGACTGTAAACTGTGGCCAAACAGTTGACAGGACAAGAAAACACTAAATTAACTACGTATATATGAAAAATGACAAATGACTATGTACTGTTTATAACAAGTTCTATAAAAAGAAGAGTAGGAACTAGATAACACAGTGAAAAGGAAAAAAGAAAAGATTTGGGGACGCTATCTCAGTATTTTTATTATTGCAGTTTAAGTTACAGTAGCTTACCTTGTTTTAATACAGTGGTTATCACACATCTGATTGGAGGTTTACAGAAACCTTGGGAAGGAGGCAGGGCCAATGCTCACCTTGTTTCTGAGATGAAGAAACCGAGGTTTCAAGTAGTAAGGCAACTCACCCAAGATCACACCCAGGCCAGGAGGTGGAAGAGCCAGGGCGAGAGCCTAGTCAGTCTGCCGACTTTGTCCAGAGCTCATTTCTACTACACTAAATTCTAAATTATCAATATAGCGAGTACTCAGGAATCTCCCAACGCAGCATTTCCCTAAACAATCTGATAAAAAAAAACTCCTGGGGCATGCATTAAAAACAGATTTTCAGGCTCCCCTGCAGACCTACTCAATCATAACCTCCAGGAGAGGTTTTGTATTTTTAACAAGAGCCCCAAGAGGTGATTCTCGTGATTAGGTAAGTTTGGGAAATACTGTTCTATACTTGCGATGTCCAATATGGCAGCTACTAGCTGCATGTGGATAAAAAAAATGCAGTTCCTCAGTTGTGCTTAAAAAAAAAAAAAAAAAAAAGAGTCCACTGCCATCAAGCCAATTCTGACTCACAGTGACCATACAGGACAGAGTAGAACTGCCCTATAGGGTTTCCAAGGAACAGCTGATGGATTCAAGCTGCTGACCTTTTGGTTAGCAGGTGAGCTCTTAACCACTGCATGCCACCCGGACTCCTCAGTCATACTAGCTATGTTTTAATTGTCCAACAGCCACACGTGGCTAGTACCATGCTGGACAGCACCATTAGTACAGAAAGTTCTACTGGGCAATGCTGATTCTAGACCAACCCTTCAACTGTGAACATGAGGAAACTGAGGCACAGGATCTTGTCTAACAAGTGCCACGGAGCTAGTGTCAGAACTGCAAGTCTCACCTAGTCTGCCAATGTCCCTCTTACTTGCCGTGTCCCACCTTAAATTTAGGGTCTATTTAAATGAGAATTCTTTTCTTTTCTCCCTTTCCCTTCCAGCAAAGAAGACGAAGTCTAACTTTGCGGGGAAAAAAAACCTCAAAGAAAGTTTATTCAAGAATCATGATTAGATTGAAAACCAATCTGCAATCTTTGTATAAAATCAAAAGCAGTCTTAGACAGCTAAGAATGCCCTGGTGTTAGACACAGACATAACTTGCTGCAGTTACTTTAAGTCCTTCCTCTTCTCCTGGCCTGATGTTTTCTCTCTCTTAGATATAAAACCCTGAAACCAATGACACATATCGACTGGCTTGACTTGAAATTATAAAGTGAAAAAATTAAATTTGATAGTACTAGCAAACATTTCAAATTGAGAAAGAGCAACCCAAAGAATGGTGACTTAAGACCGTGGTCACTCAGACCACTGAACAATCTTGGCTTTTAGTATTTCAGTGATTTAGCATTTATGACATTAATAATGTCATTTTTGCTTCTAAACAAATTTATCTTCTTTTGACCATTACAATGTTGTTTAAAACAATATAAAACAAATTGTTTTAATTTCCAATGTAACTAAGGAACTAAAAGCATCTGAACATCTAGGAAGGTTTAAATACTAATCAGGTCAACATATAATCAGCCATGAAAAAATTTTAGCAGTGCCTTCTTCAAAAATAAAACCAGTTGTTCCTGTCTAGTATGTTTAGAATGCAAATATCTCCAAAGTCAATCAACTTAAATCATGACAGTTCATGCTTAAGGGAAAACAACTTGCAACTCCATATTAATTAAAATCTTAAAGACACAACCATACAGTTTTATTTTTTCCCCCACTATCCAGTATGCAATTCCATGTTAAATTCTAGTAATTAGAGGAAATACTATATTTCAAAGTTTGCATAAAATAATAAACTGAGCAGTTAAAGAAGATAGGCTAACATGATACTTAGGAACAGACACTTATTCATGAGTTTTTCCAATAATCTGGGAGGTGCCAAGAAGCCCTGAGTATGGGGTTCTGTATAAATAGAAACTATTTGTTATTCAGAGAAAGGAGATAGTGCAAAAAAAAGCTATTTTCTTTTTAAACACTCTTCAGTATTGAAGTAAACAACAACAAAAATACCATCTAAACACACAAGAGTGAAGCAACAGTCTCTTTAAGTCACAAAAGGGGGGTGGGAAAATATCTGTGCTCTAAGTTTTAAACAGGGACCTGAGAGCTTATACTAAAACAGAAACTTATTCTCTAGCTTTCAGACTCGATACATTACTTACACATTTGTTATGTCTTAACTCCCACTTAACCATATTAGGGAGAGAAAACACTTGCTCCAAGATTCTTATGCCAATTAAACTAGTTTTGGAGGCAGGAGACCTCATCAAGTGAAAGAAAACATTAGAAAATTGCAAGTGACAATAGTTTAAATCAACCACTGGGAAACTGAACTATCTCAACTATCAGGTGATAAACACTGGAACGCTTAAAATATTGCAAACTCTAAGTAAATGTCAAAGTGTTGCATAAATTCCAGATCTCATAAAAGACAGAACTGTTTAAAAGAAAAAACAATGAATTGTGGAGGAAGAGTCCTTGGAAAGCAAGCTCGCAAGGAACACGTAAGATACGGGTTGGGGGAGAGGAGGCACAGTTCTTCTGATCATCCCTCTATCAGGAGATGCTTCTAACAACTTCAGTACTATCCTCATAGACAATCTTAGGCTTCCTTAGGGAAAGTGATTTAGGCAATAAGCAAATGTGCTTTGAGACAGGAGAACTACAGAGTTAACGCTGAAATTTCTAACTTTAAAAAGATGCACTAGTGACAAAAAAACAGCTGTGAAATCCCCAGAGGGCGTAATTCCCTAGCTTCCTGTAGAAAAACAGCAACTATCCTCAGACACGTAAGCCAGGACACCTGAAAGTGACCAAGCAAAGTTTTTGGCTGGCCTTCACTTATCTCTCAAAACCTCCCTCCCCCACTTCCCTGCTGTTCTTTCCTGGCACACAAAATATAGGCCAATGAGCGGTGGGTGGGTGAGGAGGATGTGAGAGAAAATTTGAGAAGTAAAAAGAGGAGCAACTTAACAAGAACATGAATGAGACTGAGGGGTCTAATAAGGGTAGGCAAACACCAACAAGAACTACTGGAAAACGAAACGGGCTTTCCTAGGCAGTAGTGAACGCTCAGCGTCTGAACGGGTTTAAGCAGAGGTCAGACTACCTACCACTTGTCAGAGAGGCTGCAGAGGGGACGGCTGCTTGGGGTGACCTCTAATGTCTCTTCCGACTCTGAAATGTTAGGATTCTTATTTCACAATAGAGAACGCAATAGTCACAGAAGCCCACCGACTTAGAACCCTTTTAACTGAGCGGCCTAGGCAGCTGCTTCCCAACCACCACTCCCACCTCTCCCTCCCACACGTGCCCACCCCGCCCCCTTTCAGTATTTCCACCTCCACGTGCGAAATGCCTCTCGGCATTGACCCCAAAGCAGATAAGCGCCTTCTCCCGCAAAGGACTAAAACTATGCCTCCTCTGAGGGAACTGAGGGCTCAACTCTCTCACTCTGGGCGGCTAAAAACGGGAAAAGTCCCCCATCCCACCTCCCCCACGTCAGAGCAGGAGGGAGGGCGGGACACACAGAAAAACTTTCTCAAAATTTTGTCCCAAAGAGTGGAGAGGATAGCGAGAACCCCAGCGAGGCCGGGGCGGGGGGATGGGGGGAGGGGAGCCCCCGAATCGTTTAACGGCCGGTAGGGGGAGGGGGGACCCCGGAGGTTGAGGGGGCGTGGGGTGGAGAAGCAGGCCTGGGAGCCGAGGTCAGGCAGCTGCAGGCGTCCCCCCCACCTTGCACACAAAGCGGCTGCCGCGCTCGGCTCTCACCAGATCCTTTGTGTTTTCCATCAGGGCCTCATGGGTAGGGGTTGTCCGTGCTCCCCGGGCCCGCGGCGCCCCCTCCCCGCGCTGGGGACAGGCGCCTCTACCCGGGACTGCAGTGACTGCAGGGGCCCCTAGCTGGGCCCAGACCGGTGGCGGCTGCGGCAGCCCCCGGATTTCCCCCCTTTAACTCGGGTGGCCCCAGGATATCAACAACATTAGCATAGCCCTCCCTCCCCAGCGCGCCTGCGCCGTGACCTGCGCCCCGATTGGCCCACTTCCCTACATACCCTCCTCTCTCTCTTACAGCGTGGGACCCTCAGCAGGCTCCGTACGCTAAGGGCCGTACCAAGACGAAGGGGTGGAAAAAGAAATCTGGGCTTTGGTTAGCCAAGTGCTTAAAAAGTCAAGAGGAAGAGTAAAAGTTTCATTCAGTCATCCCAGTTCATACTCTGGCTGTCTTGTACTCCTTTCAATGTGTTGCAGCTGCAGAGTTGTGTTGGAAAAATTTTCCACTCCTGTCACGCCGCTTCTCCCTACACCCGGAAGATTGGCCCTCCCCGAGGAACTCCCACAGGGGGAGGGGGCACACTAGGGGAGGTAGTGTTGGGTCACGTGCTAAGAGGCTGCGCAGGCTCCTTTCGACCTCCCCGGGCCTCTCTGGCAGCGGAAAGCGAGGCGTCCTGGCGCATGCGCAGTGACATTCCACGTGAGCGCCTGCGTTTCTTCTGAAACCCAACGATGCCGCCGGAGCGAAGGAACCGAATGAAACCGGAGCGGAGTACCAGAAGGAAGCCAGACCGGAAGACTCCGATGAAGCCGGGCCGGAGAACCAGAGCGAGGCCGGACGGACCGGACTCAAAGGCTGCCCCTTCATTCCAGCGGAAACCACCGGCCCGGCCAAGCGCGGCGACCGCTACAATCGCAGTTGCGGTGGAGGAGGAGAGGCGGCTCCGGCAGCAGAACCGTCTGGCGCTGGAGGAGGACAAACCGGCCGTGGAGCGGTGCCTGGAGGAGTTGGTCTTCGGCGACGCCGAGGACGACGAGGACGCGCTGCTGCGGCGTCTTCGGCGGCCGCGGGTGAGGGAGGCCGCGGCGCGCGGATGGCGGTGAGGCTCCGTGGGCGGAGCCTGGGCGACCTGCGGCGGCGGGAACGCTCAGGTGGGAGGGAGCCCGAGAACGCGGGCGCCGAGGGGCGCCTCTGGGTGTACTCCGTCTCCAGTCTTTGAACTGGAAATCCCTGGAGGGCGGAGACCGCGTCTTCCTCCGCCCCTGTGGAAGCCGCTGCGTCTGGTATCCAGCAGGCGCTCAACGTGTATTTTATAGTCAGGAGCGTCTTTTTGCGGCTCACTTTAACTCTCATTTTCCAGAACTCTGTTTCAATCCAACTTGGTCGGTCGATCACCTACCTCAGCCGCCTGCCGAGCTTGTTAATGTGGATTGCGGAGTTTCACTGCGTTTGTGGAACCAGAGTTCGTGGACACAGGCCAGGGAACCTATATTTTAGCGACTTTCCTAGTGATTATTACACGCACCAACTTTTGAGAAGCACAGTGTATTCGTTTATTCAGCAAATATTTGTGAGGTTGTTGGGTCCAGATACTCTTTGGCAATGGCAGCCTTATGTATTGATAATAATTTTTTACACTTAAAAAAATCATTGTTTTTGTTCTATATTTGGCTTTTATCCCCAACCATCATTCTAGGCAATGGAGAAGAAACACTAATGGGCAACAGTGTCAGAAATTCCTGTTCTCTTGTAACTTACGTGCTACTGGCAGAGACGAGAGAAAGGAGATAAAATAAGTAAAATTCAAGTATGTTGGTGACCAGAGAGATTAATAAAGCATTCAGGAAAGGGAGATAAGCGTTGTGCAGGAGGCTGTGAAATTTTTTCGGTAGGGTGGCCAAGGAAAGCCTCCCTGAGAAATTATCCCGTAGACGTTTGTTAAATGAATGCTGATCCAGCAAGTATTAAGTACTTGCAACACCTCGTTTGGTGCTGTGGGAGAAGCTGCTGGAATCTGATCGGAAGATACAGAACTAATACTGGAAAAATGCTGAACTGTGTGTCAGTTCTATAGTGAGGAAAAAGAACAAGTCTCCGTGAAGTGGAGTTGTTAAGATTTCATGTAGAAGGTGGGATTTTTTGGGCTTTGAAGGATCATAGGCTAATCATAAATTATCACATCGTTTGGGGAAGTTCAAACTCACATTAGGGGGTATTCTGTGATCTAGATTGAGATTAGGTAGTATACAGTTTCTTATAGAGGTAAGGTTGAAAATGGTTAAGAGAAATGGAGGAGAGGTATTTCTAAGAAAAAGACATGGGGTTTAATTATGACATTATGTTATTTTATCTTTAATGCTAGTTTCTCTCTGGTCCTGTAATTTCTGTAGTTCTGGAATTTTTCCTGCTGTTCATCTGCCAACTTAACCTTTTGTTGCTCTTGTCTTCATCTATTCCTTTCAGTACATTGATTCTCTCTTTGATTTTTCCATGTTGCCTTCCCTGTCCAGGCTGTGGTACCATTTTCTGGCCTCCTTGTTTTCTGCTTCTATCTCTAGCACTTGGCTGTGGTAACATTCCGTTCCATTATTTCATCAGAGGACCTCAAACACAAAGCATTCTGCAAGCCATCTGACTACAGAGTGTCTCTACCCCCATCATGGGATATGAAAAACTCAGTGCTTCAGGGTGTTTTGTCTTCTCTAGATTCAAGTACATGAGGACTCTGGTGACTCAGAGGTGGAGAGTGAAGCAAAAGATAAGTTTTCCCCTCAGAAGAAGCCAGTTTGGGTGGATGAAGAAGATGAAGATGAGGAAATGTAAGTTGCCTATCTTTTTCAGAATTTCTCTGGACATTAGAAAAGTTATTTTGCAGGTTTTTAAGTTCTCTTTATGAAGATATAATTGTGTGAAGATTTGAAAAATGTAGGAACTGTAAATACAAATAAAGTATAGACGTAGCAAATAAGATAAATTTGAAGAACATAGGAAAAATAAGAAAAAAATTTCACCGTCAAGGGAGAACCACATGTTGGCGTACTTCTCTCCCTCTTTTTTCTATGCTGTACAGAATAGTTGAGAGCACAGTGTTTGGGTCATACCTGAGTTTGCCTCCTACTTTGGCCAGATCCTAAATACGTGGCCTGGGGCTAGTTTGGAACCTACCTTTTCCTGTTTGTAAAGCAAGGATAACGATAGTAACCATATCAGAAAGCTGTTAGGGTTAAATGAGATAGTGTATGTAGAACTGAGTAGAGACTAAAAAGTGTTAGCTGGTACACACGATAAATGTACTTTCTTAGTTGAATGTGCCATATACTTAATATTTTGACTTTTTCCTACTAAATGATATATTGCAAGCATTTCTCCCCATATCAAGCCATCCCTTCCCCCGTTTTAAAAGAAACCTTTAAAAACATTTTTAATGGTTATAGTATAGCCAATTGTATGAATTAACCATAATTTACATACCTATTTGTTGGACAAATAAGCTTTTTTATTTTTTTCTTTAATAAGTGTTGACGTAAACATTTTTGCGCATAAATTTTTGTCCACCTTTCTATTATTTTCTTAAGGATTCTTTGAGGTGGAATTAGTTAATCACAGAATATTTGATCAATTACTTGATCAAAAAACATTTTTAAGGCTATTGGTGAATACTGCCAGAATGTATACCATGAGGTGTTTATTTTCTCACTGGAAGGTATCCATCACCCTGTTCTCATAATCAGTGAGTGATTTATCTTTTTTCAGGCTTTGTCAGTTTGGTGGGTGGGAAATAATATCTGTACTCAATTTGTGTTGAGAAGATGTTTTTGTTATTACTGGTATCTTTTCTCATAAGAATTATCATGTTTTTGCAAATAAGTCTATGGGAGACTGTTTCTTAATGATTTTAATGTATCAACTCTTTACATATTAAGAATTTCAAACCTTTATATGTTAGTTTTATTGCAGATTTTTCTCTCAGCTTTCTGTTGGCTTTTAAATTTTGTTTATAATTTTTTTTAACTGTATAAAATATATACATTTTTAAATTATCAAACCTGTGAATCTTTTTTCATTATTGTTTTTAACAGTAAAGTCCATTAGAAAAAGACGAATATTTTCCTTTTTTTTTGTTTGTAGCATGTTGAAGTTTATTTTTTATACATTTAACTTTTTGATTTATCCAGGATCTAGTTCAGTGAATGGTGTAAGCTGTGACTAGGTAAGTCATCGTGAATTTGAAATACCGGCTCTCCAAGGGTAAACTAGGTGATAGAAAACATTAGGGACCCTCTTTTGTTTTGGGAAGAATGATGCCCATGTGTGCATATGAGATGTTTCCTGTCCTACAAATCTTGACGTGTCGTTCAATTAGATGTTCTCTCAAGATACTAAAGGCAACAGATATTTATGTTGACTCCTTAAAAGTCGTTTAAAGCATGCCCTTTTGATTTTTTATAGGGTTGACATGATGAACAATCGGTTCCGGAAAGATATGATGAAAAATGCCAGTGAAAGCAAACTTTCAAAAGACAAGCTTCAAAAGAGACTTAAAGAAGAGTAAGTGTCTTCTTCATGTGACTTACCAAGAGGTATTTATAACTAAAGGTGCCCTGGTGGCACAATGGTTAAGCACTCAGCTGCTAACTGAAGGGTTGGCAGTTCAAACCCACCAGTGACTCCATGGGAGAAAAGACTGATGATTTGCTCCTGTGAAGATTTATAGCTTAGGAAACCCCTTGGGGCAGTTCTGCTCTGTCATATATAGTCACTGTGAGTTGGAATCAACTCGATGGCACACAACATTTATAATCAATAGTTTATTTTGGTTTGCACAGTCTTTGGTTATAAAAACTTGCGTAGTCGAGTTTCTGTTTTGAAACAGTAAGAGCATTAGTGTTAGAGGAAGTGGCTAAATGTCAGTTTTTGGGTGGAGGGTGGGAGAATACAACAAGCACAAAGAAAATTTGGAAAAAAAACTTACAATCCTGTCAGTATAACCAAACGATAATATTGTTTATTTGCGTATTTATTTGTGTATAGTAAACTCTTTTTTCTACAACTTTGTAATATGAAAATTTAAGAAAATTCACACACCTGTCAGCTGCATTCAATGATTTTTAATATTTTGACATATTTGCTTTATATGGGGGTGTGTGTGTGTGTGTGTGTGTGTGTGTGTGTGTTTTCCCAATCAATTTGAGAGTAAGGTACAGACAACAGTACATTTCACCTCTAAATTTCTCAGTGTAT